AGGGTATTATTCTATTTGGTAACTAATTCTAAAATGTCCGGGTTAAATGTTTTTATCCTGAATACTCATCATTTCCCTGCAATACAATACAATTCATGATTCTGACGTAGAATTGACAACAGAAGCTCATTATGAACATAAACTAGAATTGACAACAGAAGCTCATTATGAACATAAACTTGTGGTTGTGGCTCTGTTTTCAGCAATAAAATTCAAGAATCACTTTTCCCTTTGGTGTTCAAAAGTCTTTAACAAGGTTTTCTCAACTAATACGATTTGTGAGACATGGTAGTGACTAGAAACTATGATTTCCCCCATCATCCCAAAAAAGAAAAAAATACTAGAAGAAAAAAGAAAAAGGAACAAAAAAAAAAGTTGATCGAGTAACCTATAAAAAATGCAATATATTTTATCAAAAAATCAGCTATATCACTCAATTACACCTATAATGGGAAGCTCATTTTCAACACCTGAACGGCTCATTTGGGAAAAACGGCTAATTTTCAGCAATGTCGACTAACTTTTTCTAACACCTCCAAACTATTCAAGATAACATTTATCAACAATCACTAAATCATCTTATGCACCAGTACTAAGAAAGAAAAAAAAAATGCATATATCATGCATGTAATCTCCCATAAGTATGCATTATTTTCATTTACCTACGAAAGCCTCAAAAAGCTCTGGCCATCCTCAAACCAGAATGCCTTTGCTACCTGGAAGATCACGCCACTCGATCTGAACCAGAATTTCCCCACACTCGGCATCTCTCAACTTCAAAATCATGTCCTGAATCATTTTGCCTTCGCTCCACACCACACAGCTCTCCTCAGCCAAACAGTTATCAAGGCTCGGCTGAACCCTTTCGACTTTAGTCCCATCTGGGGAACTTTCCAATCCCATTCTCACGCATTCTACTATAGGTTTTATGTCGATTTTGGCATTTCCCATATTGTCGTCGTAAGTGAACGTGTCCTTGTCATAAACAAACTCGAAAAAGAAAACAAATAATAATTATTTTGGGAAATATTTATAAACGTGGAAAAAAATTTGGGTTGGATATGAGGAACTTACTATATTGATAGGGGCATTTAGGTCCTTCACATAAATGGTCAAATCTTCATCCCAGACAGGGTTGCAGTTGTCCTGCACGACTTCTGTCTTCACTCTCTGCACCAATTTATGCAGCCATAATGTGTTTGTTTGTAAACTTGCATTTGAAAGAAGAGTTAATGCTATATTCAACCACCCATATCATTAGAAACATATATTTTGTTTCGTCCCTCACTTCATACTTCTCTTTATGTTCGATAAACATACTTAAAAGAAGCAAGCTGAGGTCCAACCCGAGCGCAATCAAACAGTACTGGACAGTTGTGTGCATAAAACAAAGAAAAAGAACCCTTCAAGGGTTGGTGTGTAATAGTTTGAAACCCAATAGACAGTCAAAGCGTACGTGTGCTGAACTTCTTAGAGACGAGCTTTTCATCAGCCACTCGAATACTACTGCCATATTGTAACTATAAGAAACGTAAAAAATTCATCTCAGGCAATTGAGCTAGGAAGTACACAGAAAAATCTAGGATATGGCTGAAGAACTCCATGAAAGAAGTGATTTTCAAGACGAACATCGTTATTCTTTGTCGAGTTTGAAAGCTCAGTTACGAAGACAAAGGAAATTGCCGAATGGCTATTACAGAACACTGTGACTCTGGTTCTTGATATTGATGGTTTATTCATCTTGCAGATAACCCATAAGGTAAATGGGCAGTTTACAACCCACCGAGAAATTCCATAAACAAATTCACCATTCCTTTTAGATTTTCTAGCTAAAGAGGCATCTGCTGCCATAGTTTAAGGGCACCTAAAGGAATCGTAAAATTAGAAAATACTTGGTCATCATCACACAAACATAACACTATTATCTAGAAGATAATTCAATCCTTTAATGAAAAGTAGACAACTAACACAAGGCAGAAAAAAGGTTTCAATGTAAGAAGATTTCAAGTTGAAGCCTCTAATTCGAACCAGGAACAAACATCGATTACAGATTATGACAAAATTGAAAGCCAAAAACCTGAAAACGATACTAACATTGTTTCCATTGATGACGGAACCCTGAAAGGTCTGTTTGAAACACGAAAATAGCAATAAACAGATGGAAATCAGACAAATTGACCGACCTGTGAACCGCATTCGACAACGACGTAGGGATCGCTGGTCATTGTGTCGCGGACGGCAAGATTGTTGCCTCTGAGGACGCGAATTTTCAGAAGACCCAAAGCATCCATTGAAGAAGAATTTCAGTTTTTATTTCGTTCTTGTTTCTTTTTCTGGTTTCGCCTTCCCCAGCATATAAAATAGAGCCATTGTTATTGATTTGATGTATGCGATAGTCTTCTAACGGACTCGGAAGTTCATTGGTGTCAATTTAAGGATCAATTTTTTTTTAGCAAATTCACCTTATTTTATTCAATTTAAAGGTCAATTTTTATCGCAAATTGTTGTCTAATTATACATTACTAGTATGTACCCGTGCGATGCACTGAGACAGAGATATTAAATGAGTTATTTTTACACTCTTGTTCGTTTAAGTCTAAAAAATATAGGGTTATTATATTAAATGAGTTATTTTTACACTCTTGTTCGTTTAAGTCTAAAAAATATAGGGTTATTATCTATTTTCTATCGCTTTTAATCAACGTTAAGTCTAAAAACCAATAGGGTTATTATAATTTTTTTTCCACTCTTTTAATTAACATTAAGTCTAATAAACAATGGGGTTATTATAAGTTTTTTTCCACATCTTTTAACCAGCGTTATTTGTTTAGCCAGAACATTAAATATGAGCATGTTAGGGCTAGCTTGTAAAATAATTAATATATTATCTCACTAAAACATTTATATTAATAAAGATTTAATCTTAGCATATAAATTTATCTCTTGATATAAGAGAAAGTAACATTATTACACTTTTACTTATTGTTGTTCACTATATAATATTTAATTATTATTTTATTATATAAAAAAAGAATACTGTTAAATAGTGTAGTAGAATTGTTATAGAATTATGTGAATTGTTTTTTTTTACAATATGGATTTAGTATCTTTTTATGATTTGATAATATAATTATAATATATTTTTAATGATACAATCTGAAATCGGATTACAGAATTTCAATACATAAATAATAAAATCTATCATTATATAAAAAGAATAACTTTTTTACAAATTTAGAAATTTTATCCCGCCAAAATCATTAAATATATCCTAATATAGTAATTGTTGGACAAATCTGAATAGGCAAAAAAATCGGCTCATTTTTTTTAGTTTATCAACACCGTTGTTTGACAAAAAATATTTGTTTTTCTTTTTCCTATTTTTAGTATAAATCTACACGCTTATCTCTTCTGTTACAAAATCCCATTGCATAATTTAAAAAATCTCATCCCTTATCTATACAGATTTAAAAAAGTAAAATAAAATAGAAACCAATTCATAATTACTACTAGAAATCCATTATTTTTAAAAAGAAAAAATAAAATAAAATAGAAACCAATTCATAATTACTACTGGAAATTCATTATCTACTTTAAGAAACTAATTTTCATCGGTCTAATTACTAATATTTTTACAAATATTATAAGCTAACCATACAAAAAAGTATAATAATAATTTTGAAATGGTGTGTAATCAAATTTTTTTATATTCTCTTATATAAAATAATTTTACATTGTTTGACCCGAATCTTTAATTTATAAGTATTAAGTATTGTTTATCCTCCTCTTTAATTTATAATTATTTTTTTTGCTTCCTCTTTTTAAATAGAAACAATAGTAGTTTCTACTTCCGTCATGTCATTGAGTGATTCAAACTCGAGGTCTATTTATAATATTATTAATTTAATATTGTTTCCGTGCATGGCACGGGGTATACACTAGTTTATGGTAAAAAGATAAGAAGGAAATTTCTGGAAATAGTAATAGCATTAATTGCAGTTGACTTTTCTGGATACTATTTGTAGTAAATATGATCCCTTTTTATATAAGTATAGATATTGATGTCAAAATTAAATGGGCATACACGGTGATTTTGTCGTTTTAAGAAAAATAAAAATTAGATTTTTTTACAAAAAATAGGAACAAAAATAAGGACCTAGGTAAAATGTTTCACTAAAAAAAATTCAATCCAATATTAAAATAGGAGCTAAATAAGTTGTGTTAAAATAAATAAAAATAGATATTTTAGTTTTTCGTTTTGGTGATAGCAAAAATAATTTAAATCTAGATTATGATTTGAGGTGCCATATGAAGATAGTTTAATTTGTAAAGTAATAATAACTAAAACAACTTTGATTTGCAAAACACGATTGAAAATGCTCTAATAAAGTAATCAAATTAAAGGCTCGAGGAGCTCTAATTGCTTTGGGAATAATGTTATTTTTGCATAATGTTTTATCTACACTCACTCACCATCCTACACAAAATGTACACAACGTTGGAGATAGACTGCGGTCATTTATATATATAGTTATAGCCTGTCATATTGTTATTTATAATCTTTTCAAAAAAATGACATTTCAATAAAAAAAATGCATTTCTTATNAAAAAAAAAAAAAAAAACCATGATTGCCTAATTGATAGTTGCTAACAACATTACTACTTGGCCTAAGGACCAATTGTTATAGATTTAATAAATGGAATTCATACTATGTGGGTGTAAATAACTAGTCTTAAATCATTACTGCCTGGCCTAAGGACCATTTATTTGTTATACATGAAATAATTAAAATTTATACCTAGGACCAATATTTGTTATACATTTGATAATTAAAATTCATACCTATGTGAGTGTATATAAATAACTAGTGGTTAATCATGTACAATAAAATATTATAAATTATATGCATGTATATTATACAACCATAAGTTATATAATCAACATATTACATTTACAAATTTGGTCATTAATTAAAAATTGAAAATAAATAATATTTATCAACTATTTTAATTATATAATTGTAAATATTTATACTTTTTGTAATGAAGTATGCAATGCTTAATGGAAAATATGCATGGTGACTGAAATATATGTCCGGATCAGTGAAGCATACTGCAGCCTTACTCTCATTACAATTGAGAGTCAGCCCAAAAGTCATTGTAATGTTGAGAGTAGAAAGCTCAAAAGTTGTACACTAACAGCCATAGGTGTATCAAGAATAAGGCTGCAAATGAGTCGAGCATGAACTCGACTGTCGAGCATGAACCTTGTCGAGTTCAAGCTCGACTCGTGTAACAAATGGAAATGCTCGAGATCGACCCGAACTCCACTCGAATTGTAACAATTATAAATTATGCACCTATTACAATTTTGTGAATTACATATATATAGAAAGGGATTTTAAGTATTTTACCGCATGCGAATGGCTCGACCTTTGAAAATTTGGACACGAGATGGACTCGATAACATACTCGAGCCGCTCGAGTCGAGCTTTGACTCAAGTCGCTCGACTCGTTTGCAGTCCTAGTCAAGAGCAACACAGTGACAACAGTAGAATCGAATTTATCTACTCTCCTAACCAAATGATCAATAAAGTTTTCCAATATAATCATACACAACTTGAAGGAATAATTTTTCAA